AGAAAATAAAAATGTTTTAAAAATCCAAAGCTATGGTGTTGAGAAAACAGCATGGGCATTAGCTCAGGGAGGAAAAAGAGTGGCGGCAGCATTGGGGCAGGACATGAGGGACTTCTAGTATTTCTGCTAAGATCCTGTTTTTTTATTTTCTTGATGAAATGTTTACTTTGTGACAATTTATTAAACAATACAAATTGTATGCTTTTCTGAAATTTTATTGCACATCAAATATGTTTTAAACAATAATAATAAACATAAAAAGTGGGGGAAAAAGAATCTTTTTGTAAGTTCTTTAAACCCATTGACAGAATTGGAACATGCTTGGAGGTCTGTAAAATCTGAGTTAGTGAACTTTAATTTTTCCTAAGTATCATCTTTCCCTCATGACTGTGTTTTAACAGTAAGGAAAGGTGAGGAAATAAATGTCTAACTTAGATTTCCCAAATTTCTCTCACAAGAAAAAACAAAACACTTCAATAGAAAAAAATATAAAGGAATAAACCACTTGAATCTGAACTATCTTCAAGATAATATTTAATATTAAAAGCTAGGAGGTCAGGAGGATAGGCCTGTCCTGGGCCCAGAGATACATGGTGAGCCACCCTGTGCTAGGGTTCCTTATTTACCAAAGCGTGGCTTCACAGCCCAACATCAGGGTACATATAGGCTTGAGGCTGCCACCCCACAAAACTGGGATATCACTGCTTATATCAAGGGACAACAATAAAGACCTGGTAAGATATCATCAAGGTCCATGTGGGCCTGGCTGCACCAAAGGTATCTCTATTAGGGGTGCTAATAGTTATCCTGTTCCTGAGGTAACAGGGAGTCTTGTATGGGGTTGCCTATCTCTTTTTTCTCCTACTAACAGCCAACTTCTTATGATTACCTTCTCAATAGTCATATAATCTAATACTTCCGTATTCTAAATCCTACCTCATAAACATCTCAGGAAACCCCCAGGCCCCCTTCTATCATTAGAAACTGTAAACCATTATGCAAATCTATTGACTATAAGATAGAAGATAACCAAGCTCACTCTTTTTGATTATAGTGAAAAAACCGTAAATGTAAAAACAGAAGCTAACTGATATATGGCTGCATGTTGGGTGCACTGAGTGCCATAATGTTGATCTCTCCCTTAAAAGTGAGGTATTGGTAAGCTGTAGGGACACTATAAGACAATAGGGCAGAACTGTCATACCTCAGATCTACACTACAAGAGAGGAAGACTCATAGGCATGAAAAAACAAGGGAGGAAAGTGCCCCAAACAAACCAAGATACTACAACAATAGAATCCATAGATAGCAAAGCAGAGAAGGAGTTCAGAATATACATAACTAAGATGATTTGGGAATTAAAGAATGACCCAAGTGAGCAGATACATGCAAAAATAGATCATTCCAACAAAGAGATAAAGGAGCAAATACAAGTTGCAAGAGATTACTTCAAGAAAGAGATACTGAAAAAAATAGAAATTCTCAAAAGAAACAATAAGCCAATTAAAAAACTCAATAGATACCATCACCAACAGACCAGATCACTTGGAAGTTAGGACCTCAGACAATGAAGACAAAATATACAATCTTGAAAATAAAGTTGACCTCACAGTGAAACTAGTAAGAAACCATGAGCATAATATTCAAGAATTATAGGATACCATCAAAATACCAAATTTAAGGTAAGGGCAAGGTTGAGAATAACTAACAAATGTTGTGAAGCACCTTTCCTTCTGTAAACTTGGAGAGGTAGGAGGTAAAATAAGAGAGAGCCACTATGAAAAACTTGTAGGAGAAGGTTGACCTAACTGAAGTTACTCCCATCAAAAGCATGTAGAAACCAACTCGAAGTCTAATAGAGTCTTTTAGGGAGGAATAAAACACCTCACTGTACTCTTGTATATTCTAAATTCATCTCTTTGGTGTCCTTTTCTGATGGAATTCAACAAGAAACCACATAACAATGGGACTTATCATGCAGCCTACAGTATATGTCTCACCAAAAGGTGAAAGACGGAGAAAGGAGCCAATATGGCAGCCATTGGTTACATGAGGTCACTGAGTATTTGAAATGTGTCTAGTCTGAATTGAGGTGTGCTTTGTGTTAAATAGACATTAGATTCCAAAGAATTACTAGGACAAAGAAAATGAACATGAAATATCTAATAACAATTATTTTCTTTGCAAATTATGTTGGTAATCATTGGGTTAAATGAAAATATATTAAAATTAATTTCTCTATTTGTTTAAAAAAAAGAAGTAAAGGAGAACAAGGTAACATATTCTATATCTTGATGGTAGTACTATATATCTATAAAATGTTGTCATTTTTTATATTTGTGTTATCAAAATTCATATAGCTATAAAACTAAATGGAGTAAATTGTACCATATATAAATTATACTTCAACAAACATGACTTTAAAAATAAATCTAGTTCATGAAGTGTTTTAACAGTATTGGGCACATACTAACCACCTGATAAATAATGGCTATTATTATGATTCATTAAAACAACCAGCATCAAGCTGTTTCATAGTGGGGTAGGGAGGGCGAGCATGGGAGGAATAGACAAACTCTAGATAGGGCAAAGGAGTGGGAAGGGAAAGGAGGGGGCATAGGGTTAGAAATGATGGTGGAATGTGATAGACATGATTATCCAAAGTACAGGTATGAAGACATGAATGGTGTGAATATACTTTGTATACAAGAGATATGAAAAATTGTGCTCTTTATATGTAATATGAATTGTAATGCATTCCATTGTCTCATATAACAAATCAGAATTTTTTTAAAAAAGATTAAAAACTAATGGATTGAGACTTCTACCTCTTAACAAAATGGAATAAAAAGAGATTGAATTTTCCCTCCCACATGAAATGATCAAAAGTTAAATAAGCAAATAAATACATAAACATGAAAAATTATTTAAAAATAATTTTCAAGACACTGGACATCAAACAATGAAGAGATCCTGAGAGAAAGGAATTAGGTGCAGCGAGCCCTGTGCTTGCCTCAGTTGACTGGCTAGAGAGTTTTCATTCTGCATTGCCAGGGAAAAAGGAGCCCTGGGGAGTCTGGTGGACGTGTGTGTTGAGGAGATGGAGCCGCGAGTCCAAGAGACTAAGGTGGTTTGAGTTCATAGAACCAAAATATCAGAGATAAGAGCACAGCACAGAGAGTTCTGGAGATAAGCTGAGGGCCTCCCTCCTCCGGTATTCAGCAAAGTCCTATTCAGTGAATCCACATGAGGAAATTACCTGAAACCAAGAAAGAACTCCCTGAAAGGGTAAGAAGGAACATTACCTGGTGCTCACACCAGGCTTGGACTTATGCATCTTTCTTCCAGCCAGAGTAGAAAACCTCTTCATTGACAAGACTCTGAAGAGTGGACCAAGAAAAGTCTTCCCTTACTGTTAGTAAGAAACAAATAACCCTAAATTCAATAGTTTTCTGGTCCAGCCTAACAAATCTTAAAATCAAGACTTGAAAGATTGAACTGTTTCCAAGTAATTAAATTACATTCCTGAGCAAAGCTTAAGAATATTTATAGTAATACAAAAATATCCAACACACAACAAGGTCCAAATGTCAATGCTTGACATCCAAAAAAAAAAAAAAGAACCAGGAATAAAAGAAAAAAAATTCTCCATAATGAGAGGTAAAAATCAATCAGAACTGATGTAAATGTTAGAATTAGCAAAGAAGAATGTTGAAATAACTATTATAATTTAATTTCAATATTGAAACAATTAAATTCATGAAAAACAATTTTTAAAAAAAGACTTAGGGCTGGGGGTATAGCGACCTAAGTGTAGTAGAGTATTTACTTACCTAACATGTGCAAGCTCTATCCCCAGAAACACACATACACACACAGATTCAAATCAGACATCTAGAGATGAAAACTACAATGTCTAAGATGAAAAATTACTGGGTGGGATTCAAAATATATACCTGCAATGGAATTCTACTGAGTAATGAAAGGGAATTAACTACAGATATAACATTGATGACCCTCAAAATAATTGGGCTGAGTGAAAGAATCCAGACAAAAAAGATTGCATATTTTTCATTTTATATGAAATTCTAGAAAATGCAAATAATTTAGCAGAAAGCAGATCCATGGTGCCTGATAGGAAAAATTATTCTAAACTTTGGGGAGTGATAGATAATTTTCACTATTTTGATTTTATGATTATTTCCCAGGTATGTATAGATACCAAAATTTAGACAATCTGTACACTACAGAGACATGCAGCTTGTTGTATATTGATTATAATTCAATAATGTGATTTTTAACAAAAAAGAAAGATGTATTTTAAACACTTGAACCTCTTGGGAAACAGCAATTTTGTGCATATAGCCACATTATTTTAAGATATTCAAAATTTTGTAAATGTTATGGAATGGTAAAATAAATATTTAATTTTTGTTACATCTAAGTCTATAGTGTTCACAAACCATATCTGTAATATAGTATTTGTTGTATTCAGGACAGTATCTTAAATTTGATTTGGAGGGGGTTATGCTGGGCACAGTCATACACATCTATAATCCCAGCTACTCAGCAGTCTAAGAGAGGAGGCTGGCAAGTTTGAGGACAGTCTGGTCAACTTAGCAAGATTGTCTTGAAATAAAATTTGAAAAAGTGCTGGGAGTATAGCTCTGTGGTAGAATGCTTGGCTAGCAAGTGCAAAGCCCTGGGTTTGATCTCCAATACCTGCGGGGGGGAAACTTTGCTTTGTATGTGAAGACAATATGGTATGCACTTTTCTTATCCTTAAGTGAATATACATTTACTTCCTAATGCCCTTCTTTATTTGATATGAAATCTGGACTTAAAAACTCTCTAAATGTCTGATTGAAGACTTGAGTGCCTTATTTCCTTTGTCTTTCTTCATCACAGATACAGTTGTGCAATGCACATTCATTATGTTTGGGGATGAACTGATTTATGTATACTCACATTCCACATTTGTCTGTCCTGATTTCCCCCAGTTTGATGCTGACCGAGACGAGGATGAGGTGTTCTATGACATCAGTATGGCAGTTGACAGCAAATTATTTCCCAACAAAGAAAATGCAGCAGGTAAGTTGCTACGTCCTTTGGGCAACAATACACTGTGATCACCTGCCAAATGTCGTACTTTGTATTAATGGGTAAAGCCCAACAAATTGCTGTAAGCTTAAAGGACAGCCCTCGTTCTTTCTGGTTTAAAAATAAAGGGATAGACCAAAATAGAATGGAAGGGTTATAAATCTGTCCTTTGCAGTTTGTTAACGTTTTTCTTCCTGTCGTTGCACATCTAAATTAGCAGGTAGTCACAACGTAATAGGAAAAAAAATCTAAACTAATCCATATACTTTGTGCAACAATTAAAAGTTATAATTCCTCCAAGACTACCCCAGCCTAAAAGGGTTTTTTCTATATTGCCTGAGTAAAGCACTTCCATCCCAATCCACAGCTCCTGTGGGTCCTGCCCCTTCCCTTCTTTAGCACTCCCACCTAGGAGTTTGCCTAAGACAGGTGGCACTCACGGTTCTCTATTCTCTATTCTGACTCTGGTCCAACTCACTGCCCATATAGCTTCACCTACCAGTTCTAAGTAGATGATTCTCTCTCTTTTTTAAAAATAGCACAGAACTTTTGGGTTTTACCTTTTGAGGCCAAAACTCAGAAGAAAGGTCAAGACTGAGAACAACATTATTTTTATAATAAAGTTTTTATTATGTACACAACTGTATTCAAATGAAATGCCCACTCTTCAAACAGCACACTCTGGCTTTTCCATGAGCCCCCAGAAGAGTGTAAGTTGAGCCTCTGAGAAACAGTTCCTTATCCAGGAAGGAGACTGGGTGAGTGTGAATATGTGTGTGAGTGAGTGTGTGCGGAAAACCTTCTGATCCCATGGCATGTAGCTAGCTCTTCTGAAGCCACACATCCTTCCTTGCCTTCAACACTGCTGGTCCCAGAGACGGGCTCAGCCTGGGGCAGCTGTAAACCAGCCACTCACCCTCCATCTTATTCTTCTGAGAAGAATCGATGAAGGCTTGCCACTCTGCTGGGTAAAAACATTTATAGACATTGATCTTCCCAATGTGTTTCAGAGTATCCTGATAGCAATTCTTCCCATTCCCAGCCAAGGCCTCATATCCCTCCCCATGGCTCTCCACCATGTATTGTATGTACTCAATGAGGCCCTAAGACAGGATATTTTCTTTCTTCTCTGGATGCTGGCTTTGCCTCCATGTCATTTTGTACATGGGTTTCTACACAAGCTCCTAGGACTCTCCTCTACGCTTGATTCCATGGCCCTCACCTTTCTCTTATGGAGAGGCACCACCTTCATAGGGATCATTGGCCAATTCATCTTGGCCAGCTTCTGTCTCATCAATTTGGTATGGTCACAAGCACGGAGGAAACGGGGGCACATTAGACCTGCAATGCTGCCTTCCATCTAGCATTTTGGTTCAGGTGCTTCTGCTCTGAGCTTTGCCCTTGGACATCATGCTAACCACAGCAACAGCTGCACACATAGTGCTATCTCACCCTTCAAATCTTGGTCTCAGTCTTGACCTTTCTTCAGAGTTACGGCCTCAAAAGTTAAAAAAAAGTTCTGAGCTATGAAGTACAAGGCAAAACACTTAAAATTTTAAACCACCATTTGAAGCGACCTAAGTGTAGCTGCCAAGAATGGAAGAATTATAAGAAGAAAGAGATGGAGAGCTTTCTGGGCAGACCAGCAGAGCACAGATAACTGATGCAAACTCAGCTGTCTAATTTTCTAGTGATATTTCCTGCCTGTTGCAGGAAAGATGGAATATTGAGAACTGTGTTGCATCTTGTAAATAAGACTACTATTGCTCTGAAAAAGAAAATGCTACGATTCCTGTGCCTTTTAAGTTAATATTTTATTTAGAACATAATTTTAGAAATAATAACAAGTCTCTAGCTGCTAGATATCCTTAGTTTGCTAATACGGTAGAGTGGAGGAGCTGAATTTTGCTGCCCGCTCTTTACAACTTCGTAGCACCTTATGGCTCACTAGTGGCATTTCTCCAAAGTAGCTTTGTCCTGAAGTCCTACAACGGTGCTGGCTTCTGACAACAAAACAAAACAAACCCTTCAATGACCTTCCTGCAGGCTGGGCACTGGTGTTCCTCACATAGCAGAAAGCCACAAATCCCTAGCTTTCCCACTGTGCAGGGCATCACCTCCATCCCTCACCCATATCAGTTTCTTGTGGTTCCTTCAATGGCTCCAGTACCTTCCTTCTGTAGCTGTTTTGCACCTGTTTTCCCAGTTGCTCAGGAAACTTGTCTTCATTATATCCCTCCACTCTTCCAACTCTATAGTCTTATCCTTCACCTGGCTAGATCCTGGCCTCAGTACAAGAGTGATTTATTCAAGGAGCCTCTCAGACACCATTCCAGACTTGTTTAAGCCCTTGCATAATGTCCTGTGCTTTTCCTGCACGATTTTTAGGTACAGGATTGTTGGTTAAGCAGCAGTTTCCTTTATTAAAGCATAAGATTTCATGAGGACACACAGAAAGAAAAACAGAGAACCAGGGAGGGTTTGATGCCCAGTGTGAATCTCATAAGAGAGGGTACATAAGGTCTTCCTTTTCCAGTTGGCCACCTCAGCTGGGCCACCATCTAAGCATGGGATTTACAGGCACACCAAGTCTTTGCTCCCAAGCTGAGGGCTAACCTTTTCCCATAGGCTGCCATGAGCTCCAAATTTTCAGTTTCATCTGCAGTTTCTGCTCTATGGAGTCCTCCATTAGGACTTCTGGAAGAGCCATCTGGCCACATCAATCAATCTCTCTGGCCCTACATTTTCTTATCTATAAAGAGGAAATATATGCATTTTAAAAAAATAGGCAGAACTCATCTAGGTTAATTTCAATTCCTAGGTGTAATTCATATTTTGTTCAGAGTTGATGGTTGTACTCGGAAGTGGTTGGCTTCAATAGCAACTTTTTATAAAAGGGACTGAGATTTATTTTTTAAAGGAAATAATAGCACCTACCTCATAGGATTGTTGCCAAGAGTGAATGATTTCTATGTGTAAAACATGTGGCTGCCACACTAAAAAGGCTATATATGTGGTAGTATTTTTGCTAAGGACTTGAGGGCTCATACAAATTTCCCTCCCTCCTTTTCCTGTATTTTCTTCTACTCTCTTCTCCCTGCCTCTTTTCCTCTTTCCCAACCCTTGTCCTGAAGTATTGAAATAATCCACCACCCCCCCTTCTCACCCAGAACCATCCTGCAACACCCAGATCCTTCCAGGAGTTCACTTCCTGGTTCCAAATACTCAGGATATTTTTCCAAATAATATTTTTCTCTTCCTCAAAGGAATTCTGACACAAAAGCATTGCTAACACTTTCCATGACTGTTGAAATTAGAGCAGGATTCTTAGTGCCTGATGCAGTCGGGCATTTACAAGGAGGTACTTCGTGTTATTAGAGTAAGTGAATGAGAGCAAGATCTGCAAAGGTAAAGTGTAAACATCCTTTTCTTTACTCTCATTCAGGATGTATGCACAGAATGCATTTCATTTCTAAGCTGCGTTTTTTTAGATTCAGGGATGAAACGCAACCTCCTCTTACAGAGCAGCCTGCAGTTAATGGAAATTGGAGCAAGGGAGAGCCTGCTTTCCCTGGAGGACTGAATGGAGGATTGGAGGGGTTTTATTTACCTGCACCTGTCACTGTTCAGGAAGCACTCAAAGTGGAAGGAGAATTCCTAAAACTTTTGACTAACAATCCACCAGGAGGAAAAAAGTCTCTAACATTGTCTCAGGAAGCAATGCATTTAGTCTCTAGTACCTCTAAAGCCAATCTGTCTCATCTTCCATTTAAATTAAAGGAGACAACCTGAAAATAATATTTCCGAAGACCATACCACATCTAAAACTAGTGACGCTAAGTCTTCCCTGTGGGGTTCTACATTTCAGCTAAGACCTTTCCATACTATCTATAGAACAGATATTTTTAAATCTGAAAAGAAATCGAGAAATTCAAAATCAGGAGAAATGAAAACCACACTATCACTTTTTCAAAATGCCCTGATTTTGCTGTCTTTTTTTGAGTAACAAGATCATTTGCAGTTGTTTTACGTGTTAATTTGCCCATTGAAAGAATGCAAAAGTGTGTACATATGTCTGTATTTACCTCCTTGTTTCACATGCCAAATGGTGGACTATTATTAAAGGTCCCATTTTGAGCATACCAAGCAACAAATGCTAAAAGAAAAAAAGAAAGCTTTTCAATCATTATCTGAGCTGCTGATGATATCCTTTGTCTATTGCCTCCTGATGTATTAATGCTGCTGTTGCCAGGAGCAACAATGTGTCGAGAAATTTTATCCCTTAATGATATATTGAAATTTCTGTTAAAAGCACTTGATTAGGAAAGCCAATCTCTTCTTCCTATTATAAGCAGGAGTTTTTCTTAAACAAAAAAAAATCTTTTCATTCTGCTATTGTCAAAGATAATTTCCTAATAAACTTGCTTCAGTATCAAATATTCATATGTGGTATCTGTTAACTAGGTTTTTGAAGAGCCCTTCAGGTTGTACTTTTTGAAAACAATTGAAAGAACTGTTTCCAGTTAAACAAAATAAGTAGGACACAGGCACTAAGAGAAGCTATACATTTAATAAGATTCTGTGCTCAAATTGTGTTTCTCATGCCACATGAATCATTCTAAATAAAGCTGATTTGAAGGTAGTGTTTGAATCCACCTACCTATCACCATGTCACTAGACAGTGGTAGATAACAGCCACATTGAGGAAGTAATGACAGCTAAACAAAATTCATATTACCTTTAATGATGCTACCAATAGCAGCAATGGAACATTGATGGTCATGGTTTTGAACAAGACTCCTTAATTCCACTTGTGACCCTGCCATTTTCACAGTCATCCCAAGATCGAGCTCACTGAGAATTATCACTGATCCTCATTTTCTCAGAATGCAGAATAGACAGTATACCCCTCCAGGTCCTCTCCTGTAGAGACTGAAAGGTAATATTTATAAAGCTATTTGGAGGCAGTGGTGGAGTATGTTCGAAGGAATTAGAGCTAAGGGCCATGCCTTTGATCTCACATACTTTCTGTATTGACCTTCACCAAGTTATTTAACTTCTCTGCATCTCGTTTTCTTCTCTTCTAAAATGACAGAGTGGGATTCTGCAAAATTTTGGTTCTAAAATATCTATGACATATAATGAAAAAAAAAATTGCAATTTACTTCTAACATCTTTACTGCCTTTAACACATAAATGTAAGCTGACTTTCAGACTGGGCTTTGAGACAGTCAAGTATTTTGTCCCCAAGATACACTTACAAAATTCTTTATTTGAAAAATACCAAAGCACAATGATAGAAAAATTACATATAATCCCACTCATTTTAAAAAGGTACACATAAAAATTAAAGTTTCCCACTTCATGCTCTAGTCTTACCCTCTTGGTATCAAGGGGCAAAGACTTCCCAGTGCCATTCTACCAACTGCCTCATTAGCAACAGAATTGGCCAAGGCTGCTCCAGTGATGTGACTGGCAACTAGCATCAGTAGAGTTGTTCTGAACACACCTGTGCCACTACACATGTCAACTCTGCATCAGTTGACTTCTCCAGAATGGCTTGATGGTTCAAGGATCTCCATATGGGAAAACTTTATCTTGTTTTTAAAATTTTTTGAAGACAGAAACAGTGGTGTTGCTGCTTAGCACTTGGTCATGGTAATAGATGGGGGTAGGGGGGCGCTAAAGATAAGAGAGCAAAGAGAAAAGCAGAATGAGGACACACCTTGGCTCTCAATTTTTTTTTTTTTTTTTTGGTACCTGGGATTGAACTCAGGGACACTCAACCACCAAGCCACATCCCAAGCCCTATTTTGTGTTTTATTTAAAGACAGGGTCTCGCTGAGTTGCTTAGCACCTTGCAGTTGCTGAGGCTGGCTTTGAACTCATGATTCTCCTGTCTCAGTCCCGAAAGCCACTGGGATCACAGGCATGCACCACCGCACCAGGAAGTCTTGGCTCCTGTTTTGGGAGAGTACAGAGGCAACATCTCTGGGACAGGTCCATGTCTGAGAAGTGTGCGAGATGCTTGATATTTTGTGAAAAGCTATTTTCACTAAATATTACTCATACAATAGTCTAACCAGGAATTATTCAGCAAGGCCACATTTATAGTAAAATATGAATTTGTTCGTTATTTTACAGGATACATAATATTTTAGATTATGGTAATATAAATCTTTTAGATTTTGTATCTATTTTCCTTCCTGGTAAGATGATGTATATTTTGAGATGATGTATATTTTGAATTATTAAATGAGAACTATGAATAAATTGTGCTTCAGAAGCCCCTTTGTGAAAATCAGTGGTTTAAGTTTGGGAAGAAATAGATAAGTGATTTAATGTAACCTATAATACCCAGGAGAGCAATATTTCTATTAAAAAATTAAGTTAATCTCATTTTTCTCACCTTCAGAGACTGAGGTGACCCCAAAGGCTTGAGGGAAAACATCTCAGGTTTTTCTGGAGTGGGCAGATTCAGCCCATCTTATTTCTGGAAAACTCTTGCTCTTCTCCCACTCCATATGTGGTGTTCCTTCTGCCTTAGTTACTCTAGCACATCTTGAAGCTATTTCTCCTGGACAAATCACATTTTGCCCTGAGTGTTCATGTTCACAGATCAGCTCCTTATGAAGAATCCCAACTCCACCACTTCCTCTACTAGTCACACTTGACTCACTCTTCTTGATTTCTGAATCTTGCTGTTGACAAATCATTCTCCACAGTACTGTCATATTCTTAGGGGTGGACACAGTGCCCTGAGTATCTGCATCTTCAATCTCCAGCTCAAATGCAGTTCCTGGCAGATGGGAAGCATCTAGAAATGTTTGTGAATTTAATAGAATCCTAGAACAATATGGAAACCCAAGAGGGGATTTCTTTCTTTAGAAACAGCCTCCAACAGCTAATTTTTCCTTTTCTAAATTTAGGTTCAAGTGACTTTGATCCTTCAATGATGTTGGACACTGGAGAGATCATTGATACAGGATCTGATTATGAAGATCAGGTAATATAAATCTAAAACTATTTCTCTATTTAAATGTTTCTAATATTAGCCTTTGTGATTTTTTTGTGAAAAATAGAATTATAAGACTTCATTTTGTGAAATCCTTGTGGGTAACTTATAACATATTTCATGATAAATCATAGTAGCCTACAGCTTTCTTTCACCATTTGGCTCTTTGACCCTCCCTTATCTATAGACCCAAAGTAGCAGTTAATTAAGGAAAGATTTGTGGTTGGAAGTTATTTGAGACAGAAGTAAGTTTCTCTTGCCCAAGAATTTGCCCGCTTCTATCCTTCCCACTAATAGATAGGTAATATGTATGAGAATCAGCTATGGGCTCAGGGCTCTGCCAGTCTATTTCTAACCTTTCAATTGGAATAATGACTGAGGAAAACATGGCTAAAAAATAAATATATGTTCTCTTTGAATAAGACTGAAGAACTTTATCTGGGTCATTTTCCCTCTCTGCAGAAGAACTCTCTTTCTTGCTGTATTTTAATGACCCAAAATAGTTGGCAAATGATCCAACTTCTAATTAGCTATTTTTGAAAAAGGATAATGTCTGAAACTCCCCCCAACATCCATCAGTGCTCCTTACCAGTGGCTGAAAACTAAGTGAATATGTTCTAATGAGGGTTTTTTGTTCCCATTTTAAACTGATACGCATCGCAAATAGAGCAAAGAGATCTGACCAGTGTCCATACATAATAATCAACTGTACATTTTGTATTTTCATGAACATCAAGCTTCTTCCTTATATCACGAAACAAGGAGAAAATATTGCCAAGTGTATAATATCTACCAAATATTTATGGTAGTTTTTAATATTTATCAAGTACTCACTACATGCACAACATTATGCTGAGTTCCTTATATTATTTCATTAATTCTTCACGGTATCTCTAAAGAGTAGGAATTTTTATTTCTACTTCACAGAAAAGAAAACTTAAACAAGAAGAATAATTAGGTCAAGGTTAAACAAGTGGTTTCACAGTGGGAATGTGAACTTGAGGCACATTCCCCAACACCCACACTCTAGTGCCTCCGTCCTAGCCTCCAAAGAGGTTGTTCAATGATACATTTTTGGAGCCTTTTCAGTCTCTGACTCGTAAGGCCTCAGCAGAAGCAAATGCCAAACAACCACTCATCATGTGAACCTAAAATTATAGACTGCACAAAGAATTGACATATAACAAGACAGGCAGCAACAAATGGGAGGCTTCACACCCCCAGGAGCTAGAAATAACAGAAAAAAAATCTGAAGGAAATCTTAATAGAGGAATATTTAGAACATTCAAAGAAATAAAGGGAAGGTTCAAAACCATGAAACAAGTCCATGAAAGAATGGAAAGGAACAGACAGGAAAAGGGAAGAAATAGACCACACAACTAACAAGTTACAGAGTCAGAAATCAAACTTGGATCTGCCTGCCACCAAAAATCTATTTTCTTCTACCACTCCAGGAAAGCCATGATGAGAGTCACTGGTAATCTATTGCTAATTCTGTTCAGCACTTTTTAGTTATCTTTCTTGACATTTACTGCATTTGACACTGTAATCCAGGAGTCACCAAACTGTTTCTTTGAAGAACCAGCTTTTCAATATTTCAGACTTTGCTCACCATATAGTCTCTGTTGTACCTACTCAAATCCCATCATTGTTGCACAAAGCAGCCATAAAAATATGTAAACTAACTAGCATGACTGTGTCCCCACAAAAATTTATGGGTACTGAAATCTGAACTCCACGTAATTTTCACATGATTTGTGTGTGTGTGTGTGTGTGTGTGTGTGTATGAAGCAGAATGCATTACAATTCTTATTACATATATACAGCACAATTTTTCATATCTCTGGTTGTATACATAGTATATTCACACCAACTTGTGTCTTCATACCTGTACTTTGGATAATATTGATCATCACATTCCACTATCATTAATTACCCCATGCCCCCTCCCTTTCCCTCCAACCCCTCTGCCCTATCTAGAGTCCGTCTATTCCTCCCATGCTCCCACTCCCCACATGATTTATTTCAACCTTTAAAATGTCACATTTTCAGCTAAGAGGCTGTACACAAGTAGGCAGCAGAACAGATCTGACCTGCAGGCCGTTAATCCATGGGCCTCTGCCATAAGCCATTCCCCTGTCCTTGACATTCTACTCTCCCTTAATTCCTAACATTTCTAGAGTCTTTAATATTCTTCTTAGTGCTTCACATTAATTACCTAATTTCATCCTCAGAACACTCTAGGAAATACATATTTATGCTATTATTCCAGTTTTAATGAGGAAACAGGTGCAGAGAAATTAAGCAGTTAATTCAAATCCACCCAGCTGATAAGAGGTTCAAACCCAGAGATCTGATTCCAGAGCCAGGATCAGGGAAAATAGACTCGGTTGTGCGGGGGTAGAAAATAAAACTGAAAATCTGAGTGCTTTCCTTCCAGAGGTCCTTTTATAAGTGAGTCCAAAGGGATCATGGATGGGGAGAAGAGCTTGAGGGTGATGCACCTGCTCTTAACTGCACATGAGCTCGCCTCATGGTCAGGGGCAGCCCTAGTTGCTGGCTCTACGACCATGCAAGGAGCCTGGAAAATGGAGCTTCCTAATGTGCCCAAGGAGAGAGAGATGGGTTTAGTGAACACCAAGTCAGCCTTCACTGCAAAGCTCTGTTCAGGCTGCAGCACCTCCTTACTAACGCTCTCCCTCTCTCCTACTTCTCTGTTCATTCATTCCTGGCTTCCTTTCTGAACTCTCCATTGGTCCATTATTCAAATGTGGGCGTTCCCCAACATCCTGGTAGTGGCCCCCCTTTTTTTTTTCACTGCACACATTCTCCTTTGAGAAGCTCAGTAACAACCATGGTCCCGGCTTCACATGGAATTCCTTGGTAAGCTCCTGTCATGTCTACCTACTACATAGCACTGGTGAGATTTCCCATGTGCATTTCAAACTTACACGTCCAAAACTGAGCTCACCATCTTCCCCCACAAAATCTGTTCTTCCTTCTGTTTTCTCTATTTCAGTAAATGATACCACCATCCCCCCAGCTGCCCAAGCCAGAAACAAGGGTGTTTTCCTAGCCTCTCTCCTTCCCTGTGTCCATTTGGTCAGTTCCGTACAGGAATTGCTCCAACCCTCTCCAATTCCACTACCCCTTCCTTGGTTCACACCCTCAGCCTTCCTCCCTAGGACCACAGGGACAACCTTCTAACCAGTCTCCCTGCCCCAGTCTTCTCATTCCTAAAATGATCTTGTGAAAGCAGACTCAGTCACGGCATTCCACTACTTAAAACCCTTCTTGGCTCCTTGATTTCAGAATTCAATCAGAACCTCTAAGCATAATACATGAAAATGTACAAAGCAGTATCTGACCCCTACATTCCTCTCCACCCACATCCTTGCAACACCAAAGCATTTGCAGTTCCTTGAAGTGGGGTATGCTTTGCAGTCCCTTCCCTTTTTAGGGAAGCTTCCCCAGCTCCATCACCTCTATCCCAGATAATCCCTATTTGTGCACCATCAGGACCAAGTTTCCCTTCAGAAAGCCCTTCTCTTGCTACATGTTGCGTTCACCTTCTTCAGGGGCCATGGCACCTGAGGTTGTGATATTTTAATGCAGGACATAGACTGGGCTCTGCTCTGTGTATCACACTGCCTGCCACACAGCTGGGTATATGGCATACGCTCAATAAATGTCCACTTTTTTGAAAGCCAAGGAAATGAATTTTAGTTCTTTACTTAACTTGTGATTTGGGGGGTAACTTACTGAGCCTCTTTTGCATCTCTCTTAGAAAGTCATGACAGTTCCCTCACTTTGAAGAACTGCTGTGCAAGGAAGGGAGCACAACTGAGCTTGTGTAGAACAACTGTTCGAAAATATAACTCCCTCCCTGCCTTCCCCCAGATCTGACTCAAACAGAACTTTTCAGGCCCCAGTGGTCTCCTGGAGATAACAAAGGCCCCCACTTCTTCAGCTAAGTGGATACTAATTGTCTGAGCACTTCCACTTTTTGGACCCAGATGCAAGGAGCTTAGAAATTGCCACTTTGTCCTAAGAACAAGTAAAAAGCTGAACATGCTGAAAAATCAACCCTGCTTATATCCTTCAGAGAAGTAAGGTTGTAGTCCAAACATACCTCACTAACCCTAAAGAGATAGAGAGGCACATCACAACTTAGCTCGAGAGACAGAAACCCACCAACAGAAACTTCATGGGAACCAGTGCTAGGGTAGGAAGAAATGAATAATTACAAGTGCTAGAGGCTCAGTGTGGACGAATCCAAGAGCTTAAAAACCCCACAGGGACCCAGTCTTGGAAGCCCCCACACCTTTGTGAGAGTCACCTCCAGGAGCTCCATCAGGTGATCGCAGTGAACATCAGAAAAAAATCCTGTCAATCTTCAGGCAGAAAGAGAAGAAAAAAAATTCTGAAATATGCCTGAGCATTCTATTCTTCTTAACAAATCCTACTGTCAAAAGAAATTATTTTACCAGAGCTCAACCTACCTGGAGAAACAGAAGTCCCCAGAGGGATTTTAAAAACAAGAATCACTGGTGAAGTTCACAGTCCAGGTGCACAGGCTCACCAGAAAACTAAAACTAAGATAGGCCTATAGAATGTTCCTCCCCTCCCCTACTTTACAAATACATTACAAAATACTATTTATTACAGTTCCTTTTACCCAGTATATCATATCCATCTATCAATTGAAAATTATAAGGCATACCAAAAGGCAAAAAACACAGTTTGAATAGACTGACCAAACATCAGAACTAGAGTCATATATGGCTGCAATGTGAGATTCTCGAACCAGGAATTTTTTTTAAAAAACTTATAGTTAATATGCTAAAGGCTTTAATGAAAAAGAAAGTAAAGGACAACATGCTGGATAATGTAAGCAGAGAGATGGGAATTATAATAAAGAATCAGAAAGAAGTACTAGAGATTAAAAAAAAAAAACACTGGAATAGAAATGAACAATACCACTGATGGGT